TTTCTATTTGTTTTGACACATGGCTTTTTTAGAAGAGCTGAAACTGAAGTAAAGCACAGTAAATGAAAATTACTCTGAATTAAAAACACTGATCATTTATTGAACAGGACGGAATAATTTCAGATTTAAAGAACTTTCAGAAGTTTGTTTTCTGAATTAGGCTGAACTTTTCCATTAAAAGTGGGATGTTTTACCACCTTATAAAACATCTAAAATAAAGTCTGAATAAAAAAAAACAAAAACAAAAAAACAGTAAAATATAGAAGTACCAAATTGCAAGTAAAAGGTTCATAAAAAATGGATGTAAATTTCTTTAGGAAGCATTTTTGTATCTCCCAGTATTCATTTAAAACTAATCAGCTTATGTCTTCAGCTCTGTAATTACGCTGTAGACGGGAACTTGCTGTCCAAACTTTTATTGAGCCCTGCATAATGATTTTACACAAAGCTTAACTCCACTGCAGGAAATCTGTGGTAAATCACAGATTGTCAGATGGGGTTCAAACTAAACCTGCTTAAACTAGCATCGTCTAAAAGTCCGATTTCACTTGTGTGTGTTTTTATTTGCAGGTAACGCGTCTGTTTGACAACGGCGGCACTGTGTTCTTTGCTATCTTCATGGCTATTTGGGGTAAGTTTGTTGTTCTGATTCAATTTCCTCTCAGTTGTATTTCTGCAGCTCTCAGATTTCAGCTTTCCTCCCAAACACATTAACTTTTTCATCTGGGAATTTCATCACGGTAAACACTCTACCTGTGGAAATACAGAAGAGCTTCTCTCTTTAATGTGTTAGTTTGAGGCTAAATCACGGTCAGCTCTCCCTGACTGACTGTCTGCAGCGTCCTGATGTAATTAGTCGTATAATTAGCTGTATCGTTAGAGGGAGGTTATCCTTTTACTGCAGGGTTGCAGAACTGCAAGGGGATACTAGCCTGTTGTAGTTTCCTTTTCCCAGAGCTGTATCTTTATTACACAGTCTGTAAGAAACAGTGTGCAGAATCTAATCTTTCTACCAACATTGTAAAAAGAAAAAATCATCATGCCAGTGGAAACAAGCTGCAGGAGAAGATGGGTTATCTCTAAATCCTGCTCAAACTCTCTTTGCTACCTAGAGCAAAGTAGCCGTGCACTTCAGTTCTACTATATATGCATTTGTGAGGTCAACATGAAGCATTTGGTGAGCTTACAGGACTGAGTGCAGGTTTCTAAAATAAAGCTTTCCTCTCTCCTTCTATAAACAGAACTAGGTCATGCTCTATTAAACATCTACAGCTTTAGTCTAACAGCAAAGTTTTCCTAAAGAGTCCAATTCTGCAGCTTTTTAAGGCTACAGGTCAGTTAAGCTGCGAATGCATACGTTATATTTAGTCATCCATTGTGACCAATTAGTTCAAATAATAAATTAAGACACACATAAATTATACAGATAGAAAATATAGAAGCATATCAATATTTTTATGCTTATACCTGCACATTTTTTGATATTGATTTAGCTTACATTAAAATATAGGCAAAAAAAAAATAATAAGATGGTGTAGCTATTTATAGAGATTTTGATACGAAGTAGTTTTCATTTAAATAAATATGTCTGTGGAGCCAATGGAGAACAAATAGATATCTGCTATAATATATATATATATATATATATATATATATATATAT